AAAAAATAGAAAGAAACGAAAAAAAAGAGATATAGAGACGTTTGTGAGGTTGAAACATTCGATGTTAAAATTTGTTGTGTTAAAGGGTAGAATAGCCTTCTGTGTACTTTAAAGTTAAAATGAACTTGATAAAACAAAAATGTATAGTTTATTTCATGGTTTATTAAAATGATGAATGGCTTCTGTTCTGAACAAAAGTCATTGTTGGGCTCCCTGAATGTTGGAAGAAAGATTACAAACACTTCTAGCGTATTCTACGAATAGGTTAAGGGGGGAGGGGTTGATTTTGTTTTCCTTTAAAGACAATGGGCTAAATTCCTGCCTTCAGTTGGTTTGAGAAATGCATTTGATGTAACATACGTTCGTAATTAGCAGCTTTTCTTTTCTCTTCATCCTGAACTCCTTTCAAGAAAGTAAAATCCAAGTTAAATGTTTTATTGATGAACTTTATATCTACTGACAGGTATGGTCGAAGCAGTTAGTTGTCCTCTTTACAAAATGTGGCGTCGGTGGCTTAATGATTAGGCTCCCAGACTCACAACCTTAAGGTCGTGGGTTCGGATCCAGCCAGGCACATTACGTTGTGTCCTTGGGAAACACAAATTGTTTTCACTGTCCCCAAGTGATAATTGGCACCTCGCTATAGGCAGTGAAATATCTTCCCACTTTGTTAGTATTCGAGCGCTTAATCAGCTGCTTGCACTGTATGCTCCACGGGAAGCTGAGAATGCTCATGGGTGTTCCATGGTCTGATGGGGTAATGATAATAATAGAGTGTAAAGCGCATAGAGCTTGCTGTAGAACGAGATTATTGGTGCTATATATTAATATTATTGGTTTTATTATTATATATTATTATTATTATTGTTATAGTTATTATTGTTGTTATTATTATTATGATTATGATTATTTTATTTTTTAATTATTATTATACTATTATCATTATTATAAAGAATCTAAGCTATGTCATTAGGGAAGATAAACATCCACAACTAGATTATATTAATTAGTTCTTGCATGTCAGTGCAGTTTGAAGCAGCTTAACTTGTATCGTTCCCACCCACCCCCGAGCAACAAGAAAATATCGATACCAGATCAATAATAGTCTGGCCAGCATAGGCCGATAAGGAGAGTTCTCTGTTTTGTCATCAGAGAGGCGGGGCTGTAGAATGTGCTCGGTGCCAGTCTGTGTGTGTGCGTGTGTGTCGATGGCTTGTAGTGTGTCTGGTCGTGTGCTGTGTCGTGCATGCTGGACAACCTGGTGAGATGAGACTGCGGTCAACTAGATCAGGGAGGGTGAGTACTTTATATTATAGTGATAGTAGACCCTATTATGATAAAATGTAGAAATTCATCTATCTAAAAATTGTTGTTTCATAAATTAAACATAGTTAATAGTAAACTAAACTAGTGTGGGTGGTTGGCGGGTACTCTGGTGTGGTTTGCCTCTTATTTCCTATCTAACATCTATCGTTCTTATCTCCACTTCTTCTTTTTTATGTTTGTTACTCTCTTGTAATACCTCTAATCTTCCAGCGCTCATGACCTTATACAGTTGTGGGCGCCGTAGAACAGCTACTAAAACAAAACAAAAAACAAACTAAACCAGACAGAATGGAGTTTTTAAAATTCTAATTTTTTTTATACTGGGTATAATTTACCCCACCATCGACGCATTTCGGATCATTCCGGAAGCTGGCTTCGACCGTGCCTTTTAGGGCCTACCCATTCTCAGAGAGATAAAACGTCCCAGCAGAAAAATTGAGACAATCGATTTATAACAATCCTCTCCAGACAGGATTTGAACTCAGGTTTTCTGCCTACGACGGCGAGGTACCTAACTGCG